CGTCCCTCGCGCACTCCTGCTGGTCGCTGAATCCTCCCCGCGCGTGCACCCCATCGCTCGGCACTCCTAAGCCCGCAAGGTTTAGGCCTCGCGCATGTGCGCCCCACTCACGCGCTCTCGTTCGCGCGCCCTCGCTGTCGGCCTGTTCGTGCGCGTCCTCGCCACTTGCGCGGTAACTGCCCATGCTCGATGCCCCCGCATCCTTCTCGCGCTCGCCTGCCCGCTCGCCCGTGCCATCGATGCCCGTGTCCTGATCGCCTATCGCGTACCCTCGTGCGCCCGCGGTTCCACGCGTATCGCCGACCCCCGCAGCTTGCCCACCTCCCGCGCATGATCGCGCGTCACTTGCGTCCAACATCTCGGCGCCGTTTCTCCGTTCAACGCCTCGACCCTTCGACCTCTTGCGCGCATCACCGCACGATGCGCGCCATACGCCCGATAGCCATTCCTCATCGATCCCTTTGCCCCCTGACGGCCATGGATCCCAACCATCCAACCCAATACAGTCATCTGCACGCACAATCCAGCCATCTTCCGTTCCTAGCCTTCATCGTCTTTGAAACTCTGTATGCCACGTACGTTTCTTCCTAGTGCACGGCCCACAACATTGGCTCGCCTTTTGCGCCTTTGTTTTGCATCGTCTTTTGGCCCGTCGCTTCCTAATCTTCAACTTAGCCCATGGACCACATCCTCTTGGCCAGTCTCTTTTGCATGATGGTTGATATATCGGGCTTGATGGCTCCTCCAGCATGTTTTCCAGCCATATGTCGAGACCATCGTCCTCTTCCTCGTCGGACTCGCCTGGGTTGATGACCACTTCCGTATCATTCCCCTCCTCTTCAAGACTTTCCTTGTCCTCAAGGATTAGAAAACTAAGCGCACCATCATCTTCACGGTTTTGAACTTCACCCTCCATTGCTCCTCGACCTTCTACGAGTTGTCGCTCGTATTCTTCTCGATTTCTTCGTTCGTAGAGCTCGTCTAGATATGTGCTCTCCCATGGGGTAAGTTCTCTCTCCAAATTCTCCAATAGTTCGAGATCTTCCCAATCCATCTCATCCATTGGCTCATAAGACATAATAATTTTTTTTAAGACTCTAAAAAAAATAATTCGAACAAAGTTGAACCAAAAGAAAAGAAAAACAAGAGAAATTCGGCCCCTCAACAAAAGGTAATAACCGAAAAAAAAAATCAAACGAAAGGACTAGATGACAGTTTTTTTTTTAAGACTCACGAAATTTTTCGAAAATTAAGGATAAAATTCAAAAAAATTCGAACACAAAGACTCAAAAAAAATCGAACAAAAATAAAAAGAATGGGATAGGAAAAGTTCACGAACACCCAATCAATCACTCTCAATGAAAGCACCAATGATGACGTATCGGGTGTTGCGTTACCTCGACTTGTCTCGATAACGGCTTTGCCACGGCCTTGCTCTCGACGATAGGTGTGATCGACTCGGTTATTAGCCTAACTCTCTCACGATACTTGAGTTCACTCGGGTATTAGCCTCGCTGCACTCTCGAAATAGATCGGGTCTTAGCCTCTCTAAATCGTTGAACTGGCTTGGGTCTTAGCCTCACCAATTCGGTTACATGATCGAATTCTCACGAACCCTAACACACGGTTTTCAACAAACGTTCTTTTCTATTACATTAAATCCCAGACCTCCAAAAACAATGAGGGGAGACCCCTATTTATAGATCCTAACTATGACTAATTCTAATCTACCTAGGAAACATATTAAAGCAATAAAATATTAAATATCCTAAACAATCTAGATATTATTGTGCAAGAAGGAAACTAAATATACTAGAGTCCTAAATTGACTAGATCTTGATCTTGCTTGGCTTGCACTCCAAACAATTCCAACTCAGACGCCCAAGTACTTGTTCGGCCGCCTCTCTCGCCCTATGCGTGCGCGCCGCCCTTCGGGTTTCCTAATCCTCGTCGCGTGCGGCTTCGCGCGCGCGCGCCTCGCACGCGTCACCCGCCGCCTCAGCTTCTCCTAGTCCCGCGTGGACTAAACCTTGTCCGTCCGCGCACGCGTCGTCCCTCGCACACTCCTGCTGGTCGCTGACTCCTCCCCGCGCGTGCACCCCATCGCCCGGCACTCCTAAGCCCACAAGGTTTAGGCCTCGCGCATGTGCGCCCCACTCGCGCGCTCTCGTCTACGCGCCCTCGCTGTCGACCTGTTCGTATGCGTCCTCGCCACTTGCGCGGTTGCTGCCCACGCTCGATGCCCCGCATCCTTCTCGCGCTCGCCTGCCCGCTCGCGCGTGCCATCGACGCCCGTGTCCTGATCGCCTATCGCGTACCCTCGTGCGCCCGCGGTTCCACGCGTATCGCCGACCCCCACAGCTTGCCCACCTCCCGCGCATGATCGCGCGTCACTTGCGTCCAACATCTCGGCGCCGCTTCTCCGTTCAACGCCTCGACCCTTCGACCTCTTGCACGCATCACCACACGATGCACGCCATACGCCCGATAGTCGTTCCTCATCGATCCCTTTGCCCCCTGACGGCCATGGATCCTAACCATCCAACCCAATACAGTCACCTGCACGCCAAATCCAGCCATCTTCCGTTCCTAGCCTTTTTCGTCTTTGAAACTCTGTATACCACGTCCGTTTCTTCCTAGTGCACGGCCCACAACATTGGCTCGCCTTTTGCGCCTTTGTTTTGCGTCGTCTTTTGGCCCGTCGCTTCCTAATCTTCAACTTAGCCCGTGGACCACATCCTCTCAGCCAGTCTCTTTTGCATGATGGTCGATATATCGGGCTTGATGGCTCCTCCAGCATGTTTTCCAGCCATATGTCGAGACCATCGTCCTCTTCCTCGTCGGACTCGCCTGGGTTGATGACCACTTCCGTATCACGCGCGCAGCGTACATCGTCGCGCGCAGCGCATAGCGCGCGCGTCATTAGCCCGCTAAGCACGCACTTAGGCAATGCTTAGCGACACGATCAGGCCAAACCCCATCCTAAGAATTACCGTGAAGAAAGTTCAAAGGATAAATGTTGGGTGTGCAAGTGTGGTGTTGAGTCACCTCCTCGCTTGCACACACGGCATGACACGGACGCGCAAGTGATGAATAAGCCGTGCATGTCCGCCACCTCAGCGATGACTAAGCAAAATTTTCCCAACACTTCACCCGTGCTTTGGACACTTGTAATCAAGGGAAACAATGTCATCCCTCACCTCTTTTGACCCAAATTACCGTACGGTTTTCACCTCAATAAATAGACGAGCATGTGGGACATTCTTCCCATGCATTCTCATGCAACTTCAGCCCAATTTCAGCGTACTAAATAGAGAGAAAACAATAAGGAAAAATGGAGGAAAACCTATATAATAATAGCTAAGGATTGCCGAAGCAAGGGGAAGCAAGCTCAGGCCCAACCGAGCACCGAACACACGCGCAAGTCTTGGTACGTTTGTCAGCCAAACTGAAGGGTATACACTCCTTTACCCTCTTTTCGTGTAATTAAGTTCATGTTAGCAAGGTCATGTCAAAATCAAATTGTTCGGCCCAAGTTTATAGTAAAATCGTACTTGAAGGTGCTATTTAAGCCCTCCCGAGTGATTTCAAAATGGAACGGGCAAGTCCCGAACAATTTATGTATATTTGGTCATTTCAAGTTATTTTATACTCAGTTATATAAGAATTGCCAAAAAAAGTAGCTGGACGGCCGGCGAAATGCCGACCGTGATGCCTACCGCGCACAGCGTGCGCGCAGGCGCGCCTGACAGGTCTAGCGAGTACGCAGGCAGCATCTGCGCGCCCAGTAACGCGCACGCGTGCCCAGTACTCGGCAGTCAGGCCCCAGTCATGCGCGTAGACGTGCAAGGTGCGCGTCAACACGCCCAGCCGCGTGTCCTGCGACGCCAGTACGCACGCCAGCAGTGTACTACGCACACTGGCCAGTCACTACGCACGCCAGCACGCCCAGCAGCGTGCCAGCGATGCCCAGAAAGCCTCGGCGATGCTCGGCAGCACGCCCGAGCGCTCAGTCGTCCCAGTACGTGTAGCCTAAACATGTTTCCACGACTAAAGCAAAAGGAGTACCTTTTTCGGGTTTCTTGGGAAGAGGGCAGTTTGCCTTCCAGTGTCCTTTCTGCTGACAGTTGTAGCACTTGCCTTTCGGCTTCCTTGCCTTTTGTTGAGGTTGCGCGTCACTCATGACCACTTTGCCCTTTCCTGCAGACTTCTTCCTCTTTTTGCCCTTAGGAGCCTTAGAAGTGGAAGTTTCTCCCCGCTGGGCCACCATGGCTTGGGTCTTCTGATGAAACAGGCCCTCTGCCGCCTGAAGCTCAGCAACAAGTTCTGGAAGAGTCATCAACATCTTATTCATGTTATTATTCAACCGGAATTGCTCGAAGCTCTTCGGCAAAGACTGGAGCACTATATCGACCTGGGTTTCCCCATCAATAAAAGCCCCAAGAACCTCCAGCTCATTCAGCTGGGCCATCATAGCAAGAACATGTTCCCTTACAGGAGTGCCCTCGCGCATGGTCATGTTCATCAGAACCCTCATGGCTTTTTGTCTGGCAGCCCGTGACTGATGACCAAATAACTCCTTGAGATTGAGTAGCGTATCCGCCGCAGTGTTCATAGACTGATGTTGATGTTGAAGTACATTTGACAAAGATGACAAGATGTAACACTTCGCCATCTCGTCAGTCTTTTTCCACCGAGCATACTCCTCTTTCTCTTGGTCTGGTGCATTGTCAGCAGGCACAGCCGGACAAGCCTCAACAGTAGCAAATTTGTACCCTTCAGCAGTTAACACAATATCCAAGTTCCTTTTCCAGTCAATATAATTGGGACCAACAACTTTGTTTTCTTTGAGAATTACGGACAACGGATTAAAGACATTTTGAATTCCTGGGATCATGCAAACATAGTCTTTACTCTGTCAAGTAGTTTTGAATTTATACATCAAATATTGATCCCATTAAACAACATTTGAATAAATTCACCCACACCTCAAAGCACCGAATCCCCGCAGGCCACGGAGTGTGGACGTCTACGGTTCAAACATTCGCAAGAGGAGGGATAAATCCCATTAGCTTGACATACTGCCCAACAGTACTCAACTAATAGTCGGTTTCATCTTTTGGCCAGCGCAATTAACTTTTTAAGAGAATAATCTTTATAAAAGAATAAAAACGACCTTGTCCTTTGGGACTATCGTAATTATTTGCACTTTAAGCGTAACCCATTAATTGGTACTAAGTTTACTACCAAAATTGTACGTCCACCTTTAGGTGACCCGTACGCTTTTGAAATAGCTCACTATAACCATCCC